TTCAAAACAGACCGATGCAAGCAATTCAATTAATTATAATGCAAGAGTGAATAAAAAAGAACAATAAATAAGGAACAAAGGAATGCCAACTGATAAAAATGAGTTTTAAGAAGTGATTTAGTGTAATATTTCTCATGAAGGTATCAGACTCTACACTAGAAATGTTACGCAGTGCACCTTTATGCTCACATTTTAACTCATGACATTCCTTTTTTCCAGCGTTCTCACTCCTCTGTGCCAGTATTTTTCAGTACTGCGCCTCTGTGACTCGCATTGGAATAGACGCATGGTTGAGTAGGGGGATTTTGTGCATTTGCATCACAGTCACTCATCGCCCTTCCAGCCCACACCACGACAACAAGTGGGTGACCCGGGGCGGTGCGTGTCCTTTTTTTTTTATGGGTGTCACGAGCGCGGCCGGAATGTCACCCGACGCATCACCCACGGACACGGCACCCGCCCACGCTAAACAACTGTCCGGTACCAAAACACCACCATTAACCCGTCTCTAACTGGCAGGGTTGTGACAATGTACCGAAGTAGACCCGTGACTCCCATTGAAAATCTCCAGTCAAGTCCTTTCCCCAGTTCTAATTCTAGTGTCTTTCTGGTAAACAAGTTTTGATCTGGTTTTGAAATATGTAACAGGTCGTCAGCCCCCTTGTCATGCTTTCCGCGATGAGGGGCGTGTGTGGGTGCAATCCCCGAATAGCCCCAAACTTTGATAGAGCTTTCAAAGTAGTCAGGCTACTTTATCGTCCTTGTCAGTTAGAAGGAACACTATAAAGCCACTGTAACTTGGCCGGTTTCAGTTTTTTCGATTTCTGTCCATTCAGCGCCACCTACAGTCTAGCTGCCTTGCAAATACAGAATCATACCTCTTTCTTCAACTATTATGTATTAAAAGGTCTGTGTTACGCTGATCTATGTTGTAATGTTTTCTTATCAAACACATTTCTGGAGTTCTGTTTGTTTCATTCACGCATGTTTAACACACATATTCTGCATATTTAGACTTTGTTTTTGTCTCAAACTGAAAACACTCTGTTCCAACTTGTGTTTCATTGTGTTTTTAAACTCAGTACACCATCACTAGAATCATTTGGATCATTTCAGCTCTGGAATTTCTGCTTAACCAAAGATAAATTGTCAATCCTAATTTTAAAACTGCAGCTTCATGAACAGCTACTCAAACATGTGTGGATGAAACCAAATGCCACTCTAGGTTTGTTTCTGAGGAAGTAACATTATAACATGACCATAAGAATCAAATATGCATAATCACATTTCTCTCAACTTATATTAACAGCGTTTAGTGTTTCACTCATTCACTCGGCAGAAATCTGTGATGTTTTTTAGTCTCTTTGGGTATTTTTTTAATATCATACATATTTGGTTTAATGCGGACAGAACATGCTTTTCCATGATGGGTTAATCCACCTTTCAGTCAGGCCCATCGGAGATTCACTGATGACCAGACTCACATCTTCATAAAGTCTTGGAGAAGTGTGTTCTCTAGGTCCCAGAAAAACAGTCCAATTGATTATTTAATGATTGGTTGAAATGATCATTGTGTATCCCTAGCCTGATTCATCAGCCAGTTTCATTTCGTGGAAATCATTTGGCCTCGCAGGATTAGGATTTGTTCGTTCGACGATAGGCAGGTACTTTTTTATTTAATCAAATGAGACTATTTGGTCGTGACGTATGCAATGCACCACTAACAGGGCTAACTGGTATATTAAGCTTTTCCCAAATCCCATAGGAAGAAGGGCAATAACGTTTTTCCCCTTGATAAAATTCACCAAACATTGTCTTTGTTCCGTATTTAAATCATCGATCTCGGAATTGTTGCCAACACAGAATGTATGGCTATTTGTGGATTGGCTGGTGCCCGAACTCGCACTTCCGAGGTTCTGTAAACCGTCTAGTGTATTCGGATTCCTGACCTAGTCGCTGGAGAGAAATGAAATTGAGTGGAGGCACTAGGTGGCACCAGCCTGACTAGTATATCCCTACTACTGTGATAAAAATGTATTTATAATGCTAGTTGGGCCAATAGTATGCTAAACAGACATTTCATTTTTTGTTTTTTGTTTTTCATGGACAGAAGTAATGATGAACCTCATATACAGTAACTTTTCTGGTGGAGGATCTGCCACCTGCCTGTCTCCACAGAATGCTCCACACTATACCATTAAACCTCTCTATCTCGCATTTCACTAACAAGAACCATGCCACAACAATGGAATACGATAAAGGTGTTTCTTGACGGCAGGTAGATGTGATGGCTGGTGGGAGACTCAGGGTGGGGGTCTAATCTCCAATCCAAAATGGTCACCCAACTGAATCGGGAACCCCCCTCCTTAAATGACAGCTCCGGACTGAAGGATGAACGAGAGACACGGGTGGGAGGGAGGGAGCGGGTCAAGAGAGCTGACAGAGACGATGTTGTCAGGATGGCCGTATAAATAGGTTTTCTGGGTAATTGAAGGCGTAGTTGAGGCTGGAGAGGAGGCATGGTCCAGCTCCTGAATCTCAGTTATTCGTATTAACTCCATTTATTAATTCCCATGTGCTTTTAGTGCCGTCAAAGCCATGTATTTTTACCGTGAGCAAGGTCGCCTCTCCGCACATCTGACCTGATCCATGGCCTTATCTTATCATCATCTGTTTGACTCTATGAAGAAAGAGATAAGTTTAATTTTCATGCTGTAGAACATTCGACGCAAAGCCACAGCATCTCCATGGAGACACGTTGATGGTGCACCTTTATTGGATTGCGCCGTGCCAAAGATATTCAAATTGCAAGATAAGCCTAACCTTCTTGCTTTCGATAATTGAAAGACCTTTGGTGAGATTTTAGACACTTTGGTTGAAAACTTGAACTCATTTGTGCAGCAGTTGTCAGAAGCAAGCGGCATGTTTCATTAGCCCGGCGCTTTCCATCCGCTCTGTTCCCACTAATTAAAATCACAGCAAGACGATCAATATTCCATAATTTGGCCTAGCGCTTAAGAAGGAGCAGAAATGAGAGTTACTTCTAATGGCGGAACTCAAGGTCCACAGCAGTTCAAGACTAATTTGGTTTCAATTCAGTTTTAGTTCCCTTCTGGTAAAGTTTGTCTAGACTTATTTTGGTTATGGTTTTGTTAAGATATGGTCAAGTCCTAGTTTAGGTCTGGTTCTGTTTTAAAAGTTTTAAAAGCTGGTCTAGTCCCATTTTAGTCCCAATGTTGACATGGTGTTTTTGGAAACCCTTAGTCCAGGCTTTGACGTGGTTTAAACCTGACTTAGTCCCACATATCTTAAACATTTTCTTGCATCTGGTCTAGTCTTAATATAGTTCTTGTTTGAATCTAGTTTAGTCTGATTATAGTCAGGGTGCAGGGCGCTAGACTGGTTTTTGGTTATTTTTTTTAGGTCTACATATTCTTGTTTTTGACGCAACCCTAATTTGGAACTTTAATCCAGTTTTTGACCTGATTTAGATCTTCTTCTGTTTGATCATTGGTTTGATCACTTCCTTGCTATAAAAAGAATGAAGGTGCTGTACCGGATTTTTACTGTCATGAAAAAAGAACTAGTAAATTTGACAAGGATTGCAGTGGTCCAAAGTTATTCCACACTTATCATATGTATTCCAGGAATCCTACTTATTCACCGCAATAAATAATTAGTACAGATGTAACAATAACGGAAATATTGTGATATTTTATCGTCAAACGTCTCACAGTAATATTGTGCGCTGTCACAATTTATCGAATTCAAAGTTCCTTTGCTTAAGTGCATTGTTTTATAGTAGCACTGGCTAATAAACATTGGAAAATACATATCCCATGATTAATTTTAGCGCAGACATCATGAAGTTATATGTTTTTTACTTAAATTCTTGGGATTATGATGGTAATAATTCACACCAAAATGTTGTTAGGGTATTTTTAAAGCAAAACAGCATCCTATCTTCAATTATATCAGCCTCTCCAAAATATCACAATAAATATTGTACCATGACAAGCATATCATGGTAATAACTGCAATCAGAGATATCAACCTGGTCCCCCATGAGACATCAGTGGGGGCAGTTCATCACCACAGAAGCAGCTTATGAGGAGCCCAGCCCATATTACATGATCATTATATCCACAATGTAATGTGTGTATCTGTACAGGCCCATGAACATTTGTGTGATGTTGGTCACACATGAGAATGTCTGTGTTTACTAGTGTGTAACCAAAATGACATTTTTCATGAGTTGCGTATATGTTCGTTCTGTGACTGTAGATCAGTGTGTTGTGTATCACCAGAAAAACAAAAAATGGAAATTATTTTAATTCCAATTAGAATTTTAATGACATACACTGAAAGAGAAAGGAACTGTTATAGTTAGTGATTATCTCAAAAATGATTAATATTTTACTATACAAATGCATAGAATTATAAATAGATAATTTTTTCTGAGATTTTGAGATCATCCCGTTTCTCTAGCTCGATTCTTCGCGGAGTTATGACCAAAAACACATATTTGACCTTGGTTACCTTGACCTTCAAGTGACCTTGACCGGTTTCAACCTGTAACATCCAGGTTATGTGGTTATGTGTGTGACATCTTGTGTGATAATTGGGTGAATATTTTAGGCCGCAGATGGTTCCAAAATTGCCGAAATGGCCTATCCTTTATAATGGCGTGACCTTTCAATTGACCCGTGTGACCTCAAACCTTGGATCGCCACAAAACTTTTTTTGCAGTATCGGGTACGGGGGCTTGACCCACGTACCAAATTTTGTGACAATTGGTCCATAAGTGGCAGAATTATCGCAGGTGGACAGACGCACACACACAGGGTGAATACAAAACCTGGTCAACCCTTCGGGGGTTTTGACCATAAGAGCTGTTGATACAATATACCTGTGCTGAGACAAATTTTCCTCTAACAAATCAGGTATAAGCCCTTGTAATGTTTACAGTTTAAATTGAACTCTTTCTTCCGTTCTTGCAGAGGACCCCACGCAGATCGGTCGCGGCATCGCTTTGGTCACCGTTCTGGACATCAACGACAACGCTCCCGTTTTCGCCATAGACTACGAGACGCTCCTCTGTGAGAACTCCATGCCCGGACAGGTAAGACCCACGCGTTCGGCCGGCCTGAAGTTTACCGCCGCTCTTTGTTCTGAGTCACATAGGCCCCCCCTGCTGAGCCCCAAAGCCATTAAAACGCTTTCTTGTGCTTCAAAAAAGAAAGAAAAGAAAAAAACATCAAATTTAGAGGTTATTGTGGAGAGATGGAATCATTAGTGCGAGACACGTCCATGGGGGGGGGTAGGTCGGGCACTGCAGCTGTTGTCATGCTTCAAACACCTGACATTTAAGGGACTTTAAAGGAGCTCTATGTAAATTTACTGCTGGATGATTGGCCACCTGCTCGTCTCCATGGAGATGATGTTGCTAGGCCTTGGATGTTTCACAGTAGGGCATAAAAGTTGTCTATCACCACACAGAGACAAGAGAGTACAAACAACGACACTTACAGTACGAATGCAAGTATTTCTGAGTAGCTAAAGTTCTGTTATTAAAATCATTGCGTCTGCTGCATAAAATCGTTCCTACTCAGAGTTTTTACGGTTACTGTGAGTCATTCTAGTTAGTAGTGGTTGAAATTCTGGCTTAATCCATTTCAGTTCTGCCAGTTTTGGTCATTTTTGGCATTGTCAGCAGGATTTACTGGAATATTTTGACTTGTTGGTTAGACAAGTTGACATCCAAAGAATAGTTTATTGAACGGATAAACTTTGGCCTGTCACAGTTTGATATAAGACCCAAAAGCAGAACACTAGCCAGACTGATTTATTTACAGTCAGTTAAGTGAGCGGGGCTGAAAAAAAGCCAAGTAACTTCTAACTAGTAATGATGAGTAAACAAACTGGCGAGGAGTGGCTGTGGAAACTGGAAAATGGCCATACCACAATTTTGCTGTGTACATTTTGACCAATTAATGACTACGAACTATTGTGTTACTTATACTTAATATAGATATTAGGGCTGGGCGATATGGATCAAAAAATATATCTCGATATATTTTGCTATATCTCGATATACGATATATATCTTGATATATGTTCAAGAAAAAATAACCCCCTAAAACTGAAAACTGCAAAAACAAATCTGCCAAATTCCACAAGGTCTTTTTTTTTATTTTTTTTATTGAAGCATAAGAGGTCGGCAGTTCATATAGGAACATTTAAGATTACAAAAAAACCTAATTACATAAATAATAATTGAACTGTAAAATAACAGAAATAAAACATATTTCCTTCTTTTCATTCATAAATAAAACAACTCAACACAAGCTCATCTTTGCATTAACTCTGTTATCCAGACCAGAACCAGAACCATGAACTCATTTAGCAGAAGAAGCTCAGGATGTTCCTTATTTTAACAGATCCATGTTCCAGCGTCAGGAGCTCTGAGGTTTAATCCCACAATCCACTGCAGATCAAACCCAACGTTTCCAAACACTATTGTACAAGTGACACTGCAGCAGATTATTCATTAAAATCTTTTGCATAAATAAACTTTACATTGTTAAACTTTACAAGATATAAAGGATAACGACTCTAGAGCCACATCAGTCCGTTTGAGATAATAATGTGTTTAATGCAGTTTTGCGCACGTGTGTTTACATTTTACAGAAACGAAACTTAAGCGCATGGCTCATTTGCATAAACAGCACTTCTCATGCAGCTCAGCTCGTTTAGCTTCTTTCGGGCTAAAGGACGAGACTCGGTGGAATATGAGGATGTGCTGCTGATGGTTTTGTCTGTAAACGGTGGAAAAGGTTCATGGTGCTTGAAGCTTTTCACTGGCACCAACTTTGGGCGTTCACGGCGATAGTGACGAGTGAAGGAGACACGAGCGAACAAAATCAAGGAGGCGGGGGCGACAAGAGAGAAGGTAAACAAGCGAAGTGGCAAAATCAGAATTGAATATAAGCATTATATCGATATATACAATATGTCAGAATTCATATCGACTTTAAAAACTATCTCGATATATTTAAAATATCAACAGATCGCCCACCCCTAATAGATATTTCTTTTTGTAATCTAACATGCTGTTGTTAACTTACTGTAACTTCCAGACTATTGAGCGTACCTCAATATAAGCCGCATCAACTCAATTTTAAAAGAAAAGAAAAAAAAAATTGTACATATATAGGCCGCAGTTCTCTATAATCTGCAGGTGTCCACTTCTTCAAGAACGTTTTCAAGTTCGGGTCATGAGCTTTTATTGCCTCCGAATGCTTTTGTCGTCTTTTTGCATTCAGTCAGTTCGTCACGCGTCAGTGTCTCAACATTGACTCATTGATGCCGAGTTCACGTGCAGCAGCTCGATTTCCTTCTTCTCACCTGCATTTAACGCATATGGGTCATTAAGATGTACACCCTCACTAATGTTCATTTAGCATCATATTTCATCGAGGTCAGCCCTGTGTTCCCTCATTTCTAAGATTTTTCTTATTTCTAAGATTTTTCTCAAAATGAAACTCTAATTCAAGTCATTTTTATGTTCATGCTGCATTTAAAGCGATGATTCAGAGGCATTTCAACCTAGAATCCTTTGCACCATGACACATGACTGCTGGATAATAGGTTGGGTGTAACTGACAACCAAATTGGGAGAAATGGGGATAAAATCTGATGCAAATTGTTGACAAAGGAAATGTGGGAACATAGCGGGGAAAAAAAAAAAAAAAAAAAAAAACATAGACCGTATAGACGAATGGACAATGTGCCACACAAATATTCCGTCCATATATTTGCCGCATTGTTGTATAAGCTGCAGAGTTCCAAGTGTGAGAAAAAAAATTATTGGCTTATAGTCCAGAAATTACTGTGTAAATTATGGAATTACACCATAGACTTTACAAAAGTAGTAGGTTTTTATCAAATTTAAAACTTCTTCCTACCCAGCTTAAGCATCATGGACTCTAAAATTGTATTATCTCTTTCCACAATCAGTATCAGAAATTGTTCTGTTGTGTTGTTGTTGTTGGGTCCGGTCAAGCAGTAACGGAGGGAAACGGGCAGATTTTTTACATTCAAATAGCTCTTACTCATAAACTAGAGGGACTATTGAAATAAGTAAAGTATCAGAATGTAGGAAAGAGTTACACTCCAACAGGGTAAAGTTAAACCTGTGATATTCTTTCAAGTTGTTGACAAAACATTTAAAAACTCATGTCGGTAACGGAAGGGAATGAAATATGCAGCACTTTTTGGGCAATAAATCCAAACAGTGATAACTCTTGGTTCTCACTTCCATATCCTTAACAAACTGGTTTGAATATTTGCTTCATATAGTTTTCTACCATATGGTACAAGATTAGGTTGAAAAACCTCTTACTTTTTGAGTCATGAGATTTTTTATTAAGAAAGGTCATGGTAACGGAGGGAAAATTAACGGAGGGAAAATTGTGCAAACAAGTAGAAGGTGCAGGATTTTGCATAATTTTTCAGCTTTTTTCTTCTGAATACTTTAATATTACTTCAAAAGTGAAAGGAAACTATTTCTATAAAATATGTCAGTCCTCAGTCCTCAGTTTTATCATTTTAAATACTTTTTTTTTTTTAAATCATGTACCTTCATCAACAGTTCAAAGATGGAATAACACAAGATATGATGAAATACATCCATTTATTTACATGATTTGCAGGTCTTTGAAATTTGGGAAATAATTTTTGTTCCATGTTTCATACATGGTCTGTTTAAAACGTATGGAACTTTAGAACCAAGAATGGTACAGAAAAAAGGTCAACAGTTTCATAAACTAGAGTACATATGTATCTGTTCAATACATTTTATATCAGATGCATTAACTTGAATTTTTAGCCTTGTTGTTTACTTCTGCTTGACTGGGCCCTGTTTCCTTGTATTTATTTATTTTTTTTTCAGCTGATGCTCAAATGAATGAATAATAATACAGTAAAATATTACACAAATTAACTGATACTTTCATAAATACAAAATGGCTTGAAATGTGATTGCTTGCTTGTTACTTCAGTTAATAAGTATTTTCTGACCCAGTAAATAGTCCTCAAATCGACCTCACCCCGGGACCCTCAAAACAAACAACACAATGAAACAGATGAGTATCAACAGAAAAATCAGTACATGTATTATACCTAATTCATAGCATTACTCTAATCCCGCCGCGTCCAATGTGACAACCCCCGAGCCGTAAACAAAGTCCACTACAACGACCCAACGGGAGGTCGCATGTTGTACTCCACGCTTCATTCTCCCGTCCGTGTAATTACCCCAGCTCCACCGGGTCCGAACCACAATGCTGCGCTAAACGGGAGTAATCGTAGGTCGCCATCACGGCTCGGAGCATACGCACTTCACCTCCACGTATTTAGCATTCGGCCTCATTGTCGCTAACTGCGTCCAGGTCAGCTATCCGTCTGCGAGTGGCATTTCAGAACGAGAAAGAAAAGTACAATCAGAAGCGAAGGGCAAAGGAGGCGTGGAGGCCGGAGCGCGCACAATTGATCAGAATGAAGCATTGTGTTGCAAATGGCTATTAGGCCCGCTTTTTAAATATATTATGTGCATTCATATTTTGGAGTTGTTTGTCCCCGGGCTCCAGGGAGGCTGAGTAAAAAGTGCAAAAAATAGTTTCATTTGTATAATAGTTTCATTTGCAAAATAAGAAGCTATTTTTCAAAGCTTGACCACAGCCTTATTATTTGGTTTTATTTATGTGTTGTTGCTGTTGCATGGTTTGAAATGTGAAAAGTTCAATTTGTGTTTTAGAGTGCCTGCTTAGTAATCTAATTCATGAAGAACTTTATAACAGAAAAGTCAGTGGCTGAATTACATCTCTTACTGTTAGGGGTGTAACGATATCCAAGTCTCATGATACGATATTGTCACGGTATGAACCTCACGGTACGATATTTATTGTGATATCGTGTAGAGATGTAACAATAGCCAAAATATTGTGATATAATTTCTTTAAAGTTCTCACAATAATATCGTGGACCATCACAATATATCGAATTACAAGCCTCTTCACTGAAATGAATAGTTATGGTGCAGCAATAGCAAAAACAGAGGGA